AAAAAAAACTGAAAATCACTGTTTATTTTATTTGTATCTTTATTCTATTGTTTTTATTTGTGATGTTGCTTGTAGTTAGATAGATTATTCTTATTTTCTTTATTTTTATTTGACAGTATAGTTTTTGCCTAAACATAGCACATACCGAACCGTACCGAAACAGTGACTCTAAAACCATGATACAAACCGAACCGTGAGTAAGTTGAACCGTTCCACCAGTTGAACCGTTCCAAGTATGTACACACACAAACTCACATCTTTCCTTCCTTACGTATGTACGTAACATAAATATGCACTACCTACATTATTCATGTATGTACGTACGTACGTACGTACATACATACTTCCTTCCTTACAAATGTATGTGTACGCACATGCATCCTTCCTGTCCATACTTCCTGATATACTGATTACATATTGTTCATATGCAAGTGTCTTTTGTTCATGGTTGATGGTGATGGTATAACCATTATAATTTCCAAAGAGCCGTTTCTGCAGTTTATTTTCAATAAATAGTCAGGCTGGACTAACAAGAAAGCTTGGAGTTGTAAATGCTACAATATTTCTATATAGTAAAGAGCTTATTTAAAAATGTTCCACCTAAATTTCCTATTTCAATAGGAAATACGTCAACACGGGGAAAAAATGGTGCTCAGAGCAATTTCATGGGTTCTTTGTATTATGAGTCTCTACCAATAGAGGGCAGTAATTAGTGCCGTGGATGGTTGGGAATTCATTATCATGTTGGAGATCCCAGCTTAATTATAGATTTCATTCATATTTCATTCTGCTGCCACATGTCTGACTCATAATTTCAGATGTCTAATAACGGCAACAGCAGCCAAACTGATTCAGGGACACCCTCAGAGCCAGTCAAATGAAACCAAAACTGACACTCCAACATCCAGAGACCTGTCAACATCTACACCATCCTGACTTCATGGATCTGCCTTGCTTAAACCCCAGAAATATTTCTGAGCAATTACAGGTGCATCTCAATGAATTAGAATGTCGTGGAAAAGTTCATTTATTTCAGTAATTAAGACTGTAGTGATTGCATACTGTTAAAATGTACCTTATTTCCTTTCTTAATGCATGTTGCTGGTAATGAATAATTTACCCTAAATCCTGGGTATCCACTGTCCTGCAGAGTTTAGTTCCAACTCTAATTAATCACTTGAAGCAGCTAATCAAGCTCTTCTGGATCACTTGAAACATAACAGGCCAGGTGAGCTGAAGCAGGCTGGAAATAAACGTTTTAGGACAGTGGGTTCCAAGGAGCAGGGCTGAAGATTTAGGAGTATTCTTATAGCCAAGCACATGAAGAGTGACACTATGTGATGGACTACTCTGGGAGTTTAGAAATTAAGTAAAAACCATAAAACAGCATCTTACCCAGATCAGTATTAGGTCCCGCCAGAACCTGCCTGAACTTGTCGAGTCTTGACGCCTCTCTCTCGGTCATGGCAGGAGTTCCGGATGTGTTCTGATCCGCCATGCGGGCCACCAGTGGAATCACAGGCCTGTGTGGGAGTGAATGCTGTCTGTGTAGTACTGCCTGTTCAACACCCACTTCTGACAGAAGAGAAAACACAGCTTTAATGATCATATACAAACCACTGACTGCTCTCTCACATCCCTCGGCCCATTAAATGTAATTATGGAGGCAATTCATGACACATAGGATATTAGGACATCAGTTTGCCCACAGGTCAAAAGAGGCAGCTACCCCAAGATGCTCAGCTAGTGGTAATGAAACACTTTTCTGTCAAACGAAATCCATTATAGAGCTCGGACAAATGCACCTCATTCAAAGTGCCATAATCCTTAGAGGTAATATTTGGGCACCCCACGATTCAATTCATTTCAGTTAGATTCCATTTTAATTTCATGTCATGGTGTAATGATGAGATTACATGTGATTCTCAAAGCAGAGTATGGAAGCATATGGGTAGCAAAATTCAATTTGAAATGTAATATGCAAAATGGCAATGCAATATAATACGCAACGCAATGCCTAAAAAGACAGTAGAAGTCATTATAATCAGTAATTATGTCCCCACTGGATGCAACAAATGCCTAGTTATAATGGGTTTTACTGGGTTTGTCTCGACGCACATCACCGGCGCACAGGCGCTCGTCGCACACACAGCATCACAGTATGGTAAGGGGCATTACATTCCGTCACACGCTTGAGGTATTTGGCCAATTACAACGCACTGGATAGCTGGCCAATCAGAGCACACCTCGCTTTTCAGACCGATGAGCTTTGTAAAAATCGACGTGGCAACGTATTTCTGTATTTAAATTTACATTTTCCCATACATATGTGCAACATTTAGTGCAAAATGAAAATGAAAATTCAATAATATAATTTACTTTTGCCATTTCCTACACTAGGTTTAGTATGCTTCCATAGCAGAGTACCTACCTATTGCAATTAATACCGAGTACATATTAAAAACACATTTTTTGACCAATATGAATCCCCATCAGCTTGCTGACTAACGGTAAGGCATTGAGGCATTTTTCTGTTGTTGTTGTAGTTGTTTTCTTAAAGGGATACTTCACCCAAAATCAAACCCCAAACCCGTAAGGCCTTCGTTCATCTTCAGAACACAAATTAAGGTATTTTTGAAGGAATCTAAGAGCTCTCTGAGCCTCCACAGACAGCAAGGATATTACCACGATCACCGCACAGAATTGTAGCAAGGACATCGGTAAAATAGTCCATGTGACGACAATACTTTTTGTGCGCAAAGGAAACAATAATAACATAACTACTTCAACAATTCTGCATGCGCTGATTACTTTGATTACGTTCTGGGGTACTCTCCAAAATGGTGGAAGACGGTAACTCAGGGGAGAAGAACTGTTGAATAAGTTATGTTATTATTGTTTTCTTTGCGCACAAAAAGTATTCTCGTAGCTTCGTAAAATTACGGTTGAACCCCTCATGTCACATGGACTACTTTACCGATGTCCTTGCTACGTTTCTGTGTGTTGATCGTGGTAATATCCTTGCTGTCTATGGAGGGTCAGAGAGCTCTCAGATTCCATCAAAAATATCTTAATTTTGTTCTGAAGATGAACGAAGGTCTTACGGGTTTGGAACGCCATTTTAATTTCATGTCATGGTGTAATGATGAGATTACATGTGATTCTCAAAGCAGAGTATGGAAGCATATGGGTAGCAAAATTCAATTTGAAATGTAATATGCAAAATGGCAATGCAATATGTAAAATGGCAACGTATTTCTGTATTTAAATTTACATTTTCCCATACATATGTGCAACATTTAGTGCAAAATGAAAATGAAAATTCAATAATATAATTTACTTTTGCCATTTCCTACACTAGGTTTAGTATGCTTCCATAGCAGAGTACCTACCTATTGCAATTAATACCGAGTACATATTAAAAACACATTTTTTGACCAATATGAATCCCCATCAGCTTGCTGACTAACGGTAAGGCATTGAGGCATTTTTCTGTTGTTGTTGTAGTTGTTTTCTTAAAGGGATACTTCACCCAAAATCAAACCCCAAACCCGTAAGGCCTTCGTTCATCTTCAGAACACAAATTAAGGTATTTTTGAAGGAATCTAAGAGCTCTCTGAGCCTCCACAGACAGCAAGGATATTACCACGATCACCGCACAGAATTGTAGCAAGGACATCGGTAAAATAGTCCATGTGACGACAATACTTTTTGTGCGCAAAGGAAACAATAATAACATAACTACTTCAACAATTCTGCATGCGCTGATTACGTTGATTACGTTCTGGGGTACTCTCCAAAATGGTGGAAGACGGTAACTCAGGGGAGAAGAACTGTTGAATAAGTTATGTTATTATTGTTTTCTTTGCGCACAAAAAGTATTCTCGTAGCTTCGTAAAATTACGGTTGAACCCCTCATGTCACATGGACTACTTTACCGATGTCCTTGCTACGTTTCTGTGTGTTGATCGTGGTAATATCCTTGCTGTCTATGGAGGGTCAGAGAGCTGTCAGATTCCATGAAAAATATCTTAATTTGTGTTCTGAAGATGAACGAAGGCCTTACGGGTTTGGAACGACATGAGGGTGAGTAATTAATGACAGAAGTTTCATTTTTGGGTGAACTAACCCTTTAAATGAAGTGAACAGCTTATAAGTTGCTCTTGTATGTTTATGCAAGAATTTATCAGCTACATTTTGTACACTAAACACATCTGGAGAGATGCGAGGTGTGATGTCAGGTATACAAAGGTTTGTGTTAGAGAGAAGATGTCAAGAACACTTTAAAATGTCTTCAACTGTTGTGTAATGATGCCATATAAGGGGCTTTGTGCATAAATACATGTAATGTCAGTAGGTTTAATGGGTATATGGGTACATCCTTTGGTATAAATGCTCTCACAAAGAATCACAATGCATCTGTGAACTGATTTTGCCCCAGTGTTTAATAATCATGCGGTCCAAACACTGAACGTCACTGTAAAATGTGATTGTATGCTTGTTAGAGGCATTAAATGTGTCTCTGGGTGACTTTGAGAGATCATTCTCGCATTAAGCATCACAACATCTTCAACGTTTAATGGCGTTCATGTAATCCCTGCAGAAATTAGACAGTGCGTGACGGCTGTTGACAGTGTCAACACAAGGTGCTATTAGAGTAGAGGCGGAACGCATCGACAGGAAGTCCATTATCACAGTCATCCATTGCCACTGAGGCTGGCAAAACAAAAAGCTGACAGAACTGTCTGTCAGGGCAGGTACATTGATGGAAGACGACAATCCTCATGTAATCAAATACTCACAGGAAAAAGTGTTTCACTCTTCGCTCAGAGGTTAGAAAATGTTTTGAAATACATGAGCAGCGGTATACTAATTGCAAAACATTCCAATGCCGTCACACAGCTCTCCTGTGTGTTCATGTTATTAGCCGTGTCTCACCTCAATAAACATATTCCGAGACATATTCCTGAAAATTTTCCATGTCAAAAAAGGTGAAGCATTACATCACAGCCACCTATTGTGTATTTGCTATAGACCAATGTCAGTTTTAAGTTTTCTGGAAAGTTTGCGCTAGTGAGCCGTTTCAAACTACCCAGACAAACCATAAACAAACTTCGGTATGGTTAGATTTTTGTTTACAATGACATCACACCCATTCATTCTTCAATTTGAATGACATTTGGGGCCTTCAGGTCACTGCAGTACTATAAAGAACTGGGATTCTAATATTATTGAAATAAAGATGCTTTCATTTGATTTGCTATGCTTCAAAAGTATCAGAGTGAAAGTTTGAGTGACAGCTCTATGGAAAAAAATGCATCCTATATTAACATATTAAAGCTCATTGGAGAACAAAATAATTGATTGACATTTCACTGACTCCAATTTGCCTTGGCCATACAGGTTTACAATGTTACAGCCTCCCAGTTAATTACCACAAGTTCAAATGAAACAATTTAATGAAGGTCGTGCTAATTAGCTAGGAAGAGGACAAGGAGAAAAGGAAAGGCTAGAGTTTAGAAGGTCACAGGTCTGTTCCCAAATCCAAACTCTCATTTAAGACTTGAGCTCAATTAGTTGATCTTTCCCAGCAAGGTCTTGCATCTAGATGCCAACAAATGTAGTCACACAAAATTAGTGTTAGGTCTTTGGTTAAAGCTTCACCAAATTTTACACACAGCATCTAGGTAGAGTGCTGTCAAAAACGTATGAAAATAACTTTGATATGTCAAAGCGTTGCAAAGATATTAGAAAACTAATTTAAGCATTGCTTAATGACCTATATCCGCTGAACAAAATCTCCAAATCTAAAGAAACATTGTGTGTGTGTGTGTGTGTGTGTGTGTGTGTGTGCGTGTGTGCGTTTGTATGTGTGTGTGTGCAGAAGGAAAGAAAATATATATCATGCAAAGATTTTAGGGTCGGTAAGATTTAATAAGTTAATGAATTACAATTTAAAATAACATTTTTATATTTTAATATTACATTTAATAATGCTGAATTTTCTGCAGTCATTACTCCAGTCTTAAGTGTCACATGAGCCATTAAAAAATTATTTTATTATGCTGATTTGGTGCTCAAGAAACATTTCTTCTTATTATCAGTGTTTATTTTTGTGGATTTTTTTCCCTCTGGGATTCTTTGATGGATAGAAAGTTCTTTAAGAAAGGCGGGGCATAGAGGAGAAACAATAATGTACATTATGTGGAAAATAATGTTTTTTGAACCTTAAACCGCATAAACACATTGCATTACACAAAATAATGCGCTTTTTAACAACGTCATATAACCCCTTTAACCGTTTGACAGCACTAGTTTATATCTACCTTGTAAATATAGGTTTTGCTAATTTTTTAAAACTTTTTAAGAAGTAAATCAATAACAATTACAATTTTAACAATATTTCAAGAGTGATTTATGAGATGTGTTGTATTCTGAATCAAATCTTTCTTTGTTGATCATACAGATTTCAAAGTTAAGGATCAAATTCAATTAGTTTGAATATGCTCTGAACCAAACACTATCATAACATCTTAGATGATAATTCAATAAATAAATAAATATATTATAGATAT